TTCCCTCCCTTCCTTCCTTTCTTTCCAGGACTATCAATGCATCAACAGTGAATACACACTGGTAGTTGGTGAAATAATTTATTGAGAGTGATACAGAGCTGTGTCAGACAGTCCATACTCAGTAATAGTCACACTTACTCGCTAACAGCTAGGAGAGACAGCAGGGCCAGACACACACAGGATTGGACACATCCATAGAGAAGACAGTGGGGAGTGACCTATTTCATCTCACTAATGACCCCCCAGCCCTCCCTCCCCATCTGTGACCCCACAACACCACACCTGCCTGGAGGGGACAGCAACACCTGATCTACGCAGACACGGACACAGGGACGCCAGCAATTCCCACACAGGGCACGGGGAGGAGGGTCCCACCAGCACTGCCACCGCCTGGGACACTCAGAGGGAATGGGAACCACATCCCACACATCCCAGCTCCCTCCTGCAGGCCAGCTCACCTGGAGGGGAAGGACGGGGCTCAGGGCAAGGAGAGCTGTGCCACTGGCAGCGAGATGACCTGCTGCCAGGACAGGGAGTGCCACATCCCAGGCCAAGGCTGTGCCTTCCCTCCCTGCAGGGCTCCACACACCGTGCCCAGGACTGAGGGGCACACTGGCAGGGGAGGGGAGGGAGTGCCCCTGACCCCCAAAAGCTGTGATCCCCCTGACGCGTGTCACTCTCTGCCACCACCATCATCCTCCTCTTCCCTGGCACTGTGACCCAGCCCAGGTGGTGAAAGGACAGTGAAATTCTCCTCTCTGCCAACTGACAAACCTACTGACTTCTGGTTAGCACAGATGGACCCCAAAACCCCCAGTCAAAGTCTCTGAAAAGCTCTAGGAATTGGCTCAAAAGCAGGGGCAGGGGGAGAGGAGGCAGTTCCCAAGCTCCAAGGTTGGGAAGTGACACCAAATTCCCTTCAGCAGTTAACAATACTCCATTCCCTCACCCAGTCTGACACTAATCCCTGCCACTGCTCCTCCTCAGGCACAGCTTCAAACTTCCCCAAGGGTGAAAGAGCCGCTGGCACCATCCAGAGCTCCCAAGGCAGAGGCAGCTGGGGATGATTCCAGCAAGCTGGGAATGGGAGTGGAACACACTGCTGTGGGTCTCCTGCTCCACGTGAAGCAGCTCCTTGTATATCATAGAGTTTTAGGGGTTGGAATGGACCTTCTAGGTCACCTAGTCCCAACCCCTGGGCAAGGACACCTCCCACTAGCCAAGGAACTGTCTATGTGACAAGGATCAGGAGGATGGAGGTCAGAAAAGGAGCCTGAGCAGCATCCCTGACTCCCAGGGCAGGTTTTGCCCCTGCAGTGATGGATTTCAGGTCACTGCTTGCTCTCAGAACCCCTGAGGATCTCTCCCCACTCAACCTCAGGCTGCAAAACCTCTGCTCCCTCTTGCTTGCCCACACCTGTAGCCAACACTCACCAAGCACCAACATCCTGGGGATGGGAAGAGGTTCCAAGCGAGGAGAGCAGGTTGTGGGATGTCTCTGCCACAAAAAACAGGAGCAACAGGGCCAAAGCTATCAGAGTTTGGGGCTTTTCCAGTGCTGTGTGAGCCCCCAGGGGCCAAACTCAGGGGTGGAGAGCAGGAGATAGCCAGGAGCACCCACAGAAACGGAGGAGCTAGTGCTGTGTGTGCCCTGCAGGAAGCAAAGCCTAGGAACAGGTAACCTGTGCTGTCCAAGAAGGCAAGGCTGAGTCTGGCTTGAAGGAGGGATGGAAGGGAGGGGGATGCAGGGCAGCCAGGGCTGGAGTGGGCAGGGAACAGTTTGGGATACAAGGCAGTAAGGGAGGCAGCAAAGCCACCCCCCTAAAGCTTCACTTTTGTCTTCCCTAACTTGGTGGCTTTTCCATGGCATTCACAAGATACATCTGAGCAGACAGGCTCAAGGTGGGGGAAGAAGGGAGGAAGAGAGAGAGAGAGAGAGAGAAAGAGAGTGGAAAGGGCACCAGAGTGCCAAAGTGCAACAACATAAGAAAATCAACTCAAAAGACAGGACACTCATTCTGCACTCAGGGCTCATACCATGCAGTAAGGGGCGGCCGGGGCTGCTCCCCACCAGGAACCAGGGGGTTCACTCGCTTAGGAACTGGATTTTCAGCCCCCAGAGAGGGTTGCCTAGGCAATGAGCGTGATGTTCTTCCAGGGAGGCTTGGCCGGTTGGGAATGTGGTGCCAGGGATGGGCTGTTAGCAGGAGCAGCCGCTCTCCGTGACTGGCTGCTCGGGAGGCTTCTCTAGTTTGATGTCGATCACTGCAAGAGGAGTTAAGGACATAAACTGGGGCAGAGAATGAACGGGGAGAGGGATCAGCAGCTGGAAAGGCTGTTTGATTCTATGGTTCTGTCACCATAGTTGGAGGAACCCTCTAAGATCATCAAATCTAACCATGAACCTGTCACTGCTGGAACCCCCAAACCAGATCCTCCAGTGCCACATCCAGACACCTCTGAAACCCCTCCAGGGATGGTGACTCCACCACCTCCCTGGGCAATATCCCAGGGCCTCAACACCACAACAGGGAAAACATTTCTCCTCACATCCAATCTGACTCTGCCCTGGCTCAGCTCAAGGCCATTCCCTCTAGTCCTCTCCCTGCAGCCCTGGCAGGACACACATCCCCCACCTCTCTCCAGCCCTGGCAGGAGTTGCAGAGAGCCAGGAGGTCACCCCTGAGCCTCTTCTCCAGGCTGACCAAGCCCAACTCCCTCAGCCCTTGCCCATGTGCTCTAGCCCTTTGCTGCCCTCGTTGCCCTTGGCTGGACTCGCTCCAGTGCCTCAATGGGCAGTGAGGGGCTCAACTACTCAGATGACTTGGAATTATGACCACATTCCTGCCAGAGTAGGTAAGGAGACCCAACTGAGCCTCCCTGGCCCTGCAACCAGGTCAGCTGAAGAACTGCCCATGTATTGGCCTCGGAGTGATGACCAAACCAGAAAGCCCAAATTCCCAGCAGGGAGCTGTGAAAGTCGATGGCAAAGCAAGGATACTGTCTTCTTTGCTCTTCTCTGGTGTGCTGTCCATCCCAGGTAAGGCAGCAGCCACACGGCGGAAAAGCTGGAGAGCAGCAAGAGGAGAGGAAAGCTCAAGCCTTGGCAGACAAAAATGCCTGTGCAAACCATTTTTTTACCACAAAACTTCCAGCCCGAGTTGTACAAAGGTGTTACATAGCTACTTTAGCAAGCAAAGCAGTGATCAATACAAATTTCACCTAGGGAATCGAATTGGTTTTATGCAAGAAGTTATTTAATGGAGAGTTTTACCTGTTTGTACCTGAACGTGGAGTTAATTAGTACCAGCTCTTCCAGGGATTCTTAGCATTCCCTCCTGCCCTCACTAACCATGTGGATCACCGTTCCAGCCTCTGTCTGTGCACACAGTCATGATCCATCTAGGGCTTTCTGCTCAGTCACCTCCCAAGCTCTGAGGGGTCTGTGGAATAGCTGAGGGTTTCCAGCCCAACCTGCTGCCAAACAGCCATTCCTGGCCCAGGTGAGCTGCATCCAAGCTGTTAAGGATGTGCTAAAGCTGTGAAGGACTATTATATTCCCATAAAACCCTCAGCAAATGGTTTTGTGTAATGTCTCAAGTCAATGCTTGGAGCTCCTCCTGCTGCCACTGCGCACAGGCACAGCCAGGCTGGGGAGCTCTGCTGCTGCACATAGAGGGAGCAGCTCCTAGGGGGGATTTTCCTCTCAGCAGCTTGGCAGGAGCTTCCCATCCACCCCTTCAAGTAGTGCTCCTTGGAAAATCAAGGTGCCAGCAAGGTACTGCAGTTTGCATCCATCTAGTCACACTAGTTATCACCTCAAGCACTCTCTGGGCAAATAAAGCAGCAGGAAATCAAAACCAAAGACTAAAGTGAATTCAAGGCAGAAAACCACCAAACTCAGTCTCCTAATCTCTCTGGGATGTTCTCCTGAGCTGCAAACTGCTGAGGATGTTTACCAGCTGGCACCAGCTCCATGCAGAACCTGAGCTGCCTCATTCCAAGCATTTGGAGCTAGAGGATCCCAAACTTAGAGCAAGAGGCAATGGGAACTAACAGAAATGTGAGCAATTCTGCTTAAAAACCAAGAACAAAAGGGTCAAAGTTGGGGCTTTGTTGTGTGGTAGGTCACACTGCCAGGGTGGTTGGAGAGACAGTCTCTGTCCTTTGGGGTATCCCAGACTCGACTGGAGTCAGCTCTGCGCAGAGCAGGAGGGTTGGGAGGGATGATTCCCATAGATCCCTTCCAATCTCAGCTGTTCTAAGTTATTCCAAGAGCCTCTGTGGCTTTGAGACAGAAACTTCCACTCCAGAGCATCAGCACAATTACCCCCAAGGATGTCAGCAGTGACTTCAGCAACCTGTGCATTCACTGTTAACCAAAGCCAAGTTCCTCCTGTCAGGCTGCTCAAACAGTGCCGTTCCCATCCCTCAGCACCTTCTGGGCTGAGTTTTCCTTCCTTTCAAGGTTTGCTTAGCTCTGACAGGGAATCACTGACCCAACAGCAAAGATGTTTGCACTAGAGAGAGAAGCAGCAATGAGCACTGGGCAAGAAACATCTCAGGGTTGACATGAAACACAAGCAAATATCTGCTGGATCAGGAATCCCCAAGCAGGAGCACACACAGACACACAGAGAGGGACGGAGAGGCTCCTGATTCCAGGACAAAACATGGATCTACCTGTTTGACATTGTATCCAGTCTTTGCACTGGTCTCGATGAACATCACGTTCAGCTCTTTGGCTCTCTGTTCACCTTCTTCTGTAGTGATTTGCCTGGGTAAAGGGGCAAACAGGAGCAGAAAGACAAAAAGGAACAAGAAGGAAGAGTTAGAGGTGTCTGAGCCCTTGTGCTTTCCTCTCACCCTCCACTACACAAACCTGTCTACAGCAACAAGAGCAAATCATAGAGCAGAAAAACCAACCCAAAGAGCCTAACAATGATCAAAAGAAAACTGCAGGGGACAAAAAAACCAAACACAGGTACCAAGTGAAGCAAGACGAACTGGGATGGAGAACTGAAGAGGCAGCACTGAATAGGAGCTATTTTTAGTTGAGCTTTTGGGCTTAAGAACTTCACTTGGTTTGATGAATGTCTTCCCAGAGCCTGTGTTCTACCTCAAAGTGTCACCTGTGGCTTTGTCCAGCCCGAACAGGCCCAGGATTTCACAGCCTCACACAAGTCCTTTGAGAAGAAAGGCAAAGCAGCTTGTTCCTCACACCTGGATATACACCACAAGTCCAAGCTCCAGCCCAGCCCAGGAGCTACTGTCACATCCAGTTCCTAAAATAACCATTTCTAGTGTTAAATGAACCTCAACTGTAGCTGCTCCTCACAATTTCCTGATATTTTTAACTCTTGCAGCAGTGCTGGCCCAGCTGATGTGCACAGACACTCAGGGACTATCAGGGAATAATCCATGGCTGGAATGGTCCCATCTGGTTTCCCAGTCTCACATGTAAGTGGGTTTGGATAGAACTTAGAAATGCCACAGTATTCACCTAGGGAGCTGCAGCTATTTGGATTTGACATATATTTTCAGCTATAGATGACCCTCAGGGAATTTGCAGAGACACTGAGCTGGGTGGGAGTGTGGATCTGCCCGAGGGTAGTGAAGCTCTACAGAGAGACCTGGACAGAACTGAACAGTGGCTGAGGACAAGTGCGGGAGATGTGGGGGATGTGTGTCCTGCCAGGGTTGCAGGGAGAGGATAGAGGGAATGGCCTTGAGCTGAGCCAGGGCAGAGTCAGATTGGATGTGAGGAGAAATGTTTTCCCTGTTGTGGTGTTGAGGCCCTGGGATATTGTCCAGGGAGGTGGTGGAGTCACCATCCCTGGAGGTGTTTCAGAGGTGTCTTGATGTGGCACAGGAGGATCTGGTTTAGGGTTTAGGGGTTCCAGCAGTGACAGGTTAATGGTTGGACTCAATGATCTTAGAGGTCTCCTCCAGCTTTGATGATTCTATGATCTTCCCTTTGCCAACTACTACCAACACCAACCATGTAAATAAAACCTTCTCTTACCTGAGGTAGGTAAGCTGAGGGTGGTGAGACACTGTCCCAGGTTGCCCAGGGAGGCTGTGGCTGCCCCAACCCTGGCAGTGTTCACAGCCAGGTTGGCTGAGCCTTGAGCAACCTGCTCTGGTGGGAGGTGTCCCTGCCCAGGGCAGGGGTTGGGGCTGGGTGATCTCTGAGCTCCATTCCAACCCCTAAATTCTATGATTCTATGATTCTAACCTCCTTCTGATATCTTCATAAAAAACAAAAATCTCTCAAAACATTCAACAAAGTTATCGCTCACTCAACACTCAAGAGAAGGGTTTGAACCAGAAACCCGAAGCCCAAACCTGTGCTCTCCCAGGAGCACACTGCATTGGTTATGTTGGTGAAGTGCTGCATGACTCAGAGTTTTCAAGCAAAATCCTTTATGACACATCCCAAAACATGAAGTCTGTGTCATTTGAGGATTCTAATTAAATTTGGGGGTCTCTGGGGAGCTCTGATGTGGCTAATCTGTTTTCCTCTCACGCAGCCACAGGACCACAGCGTGTGCTGTGTATGACATGAGATTTATCCTCAGAGACATTTATACTCTTAGATCCTGCAAAAGCTTCTGACAAGCAGAAAGTGCCTTGAACTTACTGTGCACATGCAGAGAGAGTTGTGTAAATTGGATTACTGGCAATAAGCAGATTTCTTTGCTTTTGCAAGGCAGATTTGGGGCTTTATCTCAGCAGGACAAGAAAAATTAGGCAAAATACACCACTGAGAGACAAAAGGTAGAGTTAGTTAAGTAAAGGAGTTTTTTTAGTTGGGTTTATTGCCACCAAAATGACTTGTAGAGTAGGAAAGGGAATGACTTTGGTTGAAACCAGAAGTCTGAATCACATTTTTTCCTGGTTTAAAATGAGGAATTGTTTGAGGAGCAGCCTGGGCAGCCAAGGCTTTGCAGCAGGACAGGGACAGGATGCCCAGGGCAGCACATCCCCAGCGTTACCTCTTGTCTGCCAGGTCAGTTTTGTTCCCCACCAACATGATGATGACATCGCTGCCTCGCTCTGTCCTGACGTCGTCGATCCACTTGGAGGTTTGCTGGAAGGAGTTCAAGTCTGGAGGGAAGAAGCAGATGGGGAAAATTTGTCTTTAGACAGGGACAATCCTCTGCCTGTCCTCAGGTCTTCTCCAAATCAACCCACACCACCTACCAACCCCATAAACTATTTCCTGCTCAGGCAGCGAAACAGGCAGGGGGGAAACCATATTTTAATCATCTCTTTTTTTGCAGAACTTGTGGTTGAGACATCAGTTCTGCTGGCAGGGAGGGGTTCAAAGGCTGAGGCAGCAAAGCATCACTCACTTGTAATGTCGTAGACAACGACGGCGATGGTGGAGTCGCGGATGTAGCTGGGGATGAGGCTGCGGAACCTCTCCTGCCCTGCTGTGTCCCAGAGCTGCAGCCGAACCTGCTGGGCACAGCCCGGGGGGGCAGGGAGAGCAGGGGAGAGACAAGGAAACTGTCCTTTAGAGAACAGGCCATTTCTAAGTGAGCTCCCTGAGGAGCTGAGGTGGTGTTGGAATCTTGCCCCCAAAATCCAACCACCACAGAGTTGGTTTCCTCACTCTGCTTGTGGATAATGTGCTTTAACAACCTTCTTGGCTTGTCTGGAGATCCTGTTACTCCTAAACATCTCCAGGATATGGTACCACCTCACTGCTAGTGGTAGCCAACAATCCAGCAATAATATCCCTGTTCTACTCTGAGGAGCTGAACTAATGTTGGAATCTTGTCCTCAGCATCCAACCACCATGGGAGCCGGTTTCTTGACTCCATGGATAATGTGCTTTAATGACCTCCTTGGCTTGTCCGGAGATTCCCAAACATCTCTAGGATATGGTACCAACTTATTGCTGGTGGTAACAAACAATCCAGCATTGGTCTCCCTGTTCTACCTAGGATTATGGATGGGATCTCCACAGGACTCTGTGGATAATGTGCTTTAATCACCTCCTTGGCTTGTCTAGAGATTCCCAAACATCTCCAGGACATGGCTACCACCTCATTCCTGCACTGGTGTCCCAGTTCTACCCAGGATTATGGATGGGATCTCCACAGAACTCCTAGCCTCGACCATCTCAGCTCAAACCTTTCGGGACAATTCCCACATGCAATTCCCTGAGCCCAGACACCACACAGGGAAGCAGCATCCAATCTCCTCATCAAGCATCCAGATGATGGCAATGGGATCCTCATGCAAGATGAAAGCAATAACTCAATAACTGAAGTTGCAGCAGAAATGAAAGCAGATGTTACACACTGTGAGCTGCAGGTGATGCAAAGAGCATTGGGTTCTCCCTTCCAGGAGACAGAAACAAGCACAAGTGCTGAGAGAGGTAGTTTGATGACCCCAAACCAAACTGATCTATTGGAGATGAGAGCTCTAAGGCCTAGGAATTGTCTATCTGAGACAGCACTGGCCAAAACCTGCCCAAATACCACAGTGAACACTGAACCAAAGCATTTCACACTGGAAGTGACACAGCCAGGAAACCACATTGCTGTTGGCATTGTCCACAGGCTCAGAGGTTCCCAGAAAGGCAGATACTGGTTCCAAGCTCCCTGGTCCAGAGAGCTGTGGAACTAAATCCAGTTGGAGCTGTCACTAGTGATGTCCCTCAGGGCTCAGTGTTGGGGCAGGTCCTGTTTGACATCCTTAGTGATGATCTGGACATGGGGAGTGAGTGACCCTCAGCGAATTTGCAGAGACACTAAACAGGGTTGGAGTGCTGATCTGCTCGAAGACCTGGAGAGACCTGATCAGTGGCTGAGGATGAGTGCATGAGGGTCACCAAGGCTCAGTGC